TTTTTTTTTTTTTTTTTGATTTAATGCATTATCTCTGTAACATTCCTATTATAACTCTTCATTATTAAGTTAGATAGGATTATATACCCATTTATGTTATCAGTGACTTCTCTTTTATCTGAAAGTATATCTTGATGATGACAGTACATAAAACCACAAATGAAACTCTGGATATATTTTAAGATTCTCTGAAAATATTCTCAATCATCAGAATCGGGTATCTTAGAAAATCAAAAAATTGATCTCTGTTTGTCTTTACCTTTCATAACAGCCTGAAGTGAAGCAACTTCTTCTCTCCACTGTCTTTTCACTTCATCTATAGCTTCTTGCTTGGTGTTCTCAGAGACTGTGGCAATCGCCTTAATATTCTCCATCTCTGCTTGAGCTTCCCACAGCTGGGTTCGAAGGTGTCCCAAATCATCTTGTGCAGCTTGTAATACTGCATTTTGCCTCTTCAGATCCTCTGGAGAGAAAAGTAAAAGACAGTCCATTAATGTTCACTTTCATCAGACTGGCATTCCGATAAAGAAATAAGGTATTAAATTTAAAAATATAAACATACAAAATGACACCCTTTTAACAGAGATGAGACTTAAGGTATGCTGGGTATCACAAACCAATTGCTACTATCTATCTAATGATCCAGTGGTTACGGTCATGGTTTTAAAGCTCAATTTACACATTCTCATCTGCTGACTAAATGAACTTGGTCATGTTATTTAATCTCTCTGGCCTAAGTTTCCACATCTGCAAAATGGGAAGTTAAAAATAGCCACCTCACAAGGTTGTTGTAATGATAATTTATTGGAAATGCTAATTAGTAACAGTACCTTCTACAAACATTCAAAAGATGTTTAATAAAAGAGAAAAGAAAGCCAGAGCACATGGCAGTGACTAGACCTATGTTCTTTAAAGTTAGCATTAATTTCTCAGCTCCTTCTTACCATCTTTTAAATACTAAGTTGATGTAATGTGCCTCCTACATGGTTTAAGCCCAGGCAGAACATATGTTTGGCCAAACTGACTTCAAAAAAAAGATGAACTTACCAACAGTATATGGGGATGTGGGATTGTTTTCCCCTACCCTTAACAATAAATAGTCACTATTTTCCATCTTTTAAAAATTCCTGTAAATATCATGGGTAGCAAATGGTCATGTTAATCTACATTTCCCCTGTTAATAAGGAGTTTGAGCATCTTTTCATATATTTACTACTGACTCATTTCCTGTTTGGTGATATGCTTTACATTTGCTTCTAATGAATGATCTTCCTTCTGATCTGTAAGAGCATTTTATATATTCTGGATATTAAATCTGTCTTCTCTTACAAAACTTTTCCCAGTCAGCTGCTGTGTTTCTTAAAAAAAAAAAAAAAAAAGTTAAGAGACAGGGTCTCAATTGTCGCCCAGGGTGGAGTGCAGTGACGCAATCATAGACCACTATAACCTCAAATTCCTGGGCTCAATCGATCCTCCCACCTCAGTCTCCTGAGTAGCTAGGACTGCAGGCCTGCACCATCATGCCCAGCTAATTTTCGAAATTTCTTGTAGAGACAGTTTCACTATGCTGCCCAGGCTGGTCTTGGCCTCCTGGGCTGAAATGATCCTCCCGCCTCAGCCTCCCAAAGCGCTGGGATTATAGGTGTGAGACACCGCGCCCGGCCTTACCTTATGTCTTTTAGCATCTCAACTTGTAAGGTATTTATGAAAAAAAAATTGTTCATCTTTCTAAAATTATCAATTTCGTCTCCAAAGCACAATAACTAAGCCAAACTGACCAAGAAAATAAACTGATTTAAGATCTAACTCTACCACTAACCAGCTGATGACTTTAAGGAAATCACAAGACTCGGAAGTCTCCGTTGCCTCATGAGGACAGTGGCAATACTTTCTTGCATAAATTTCTAACTACTTATAAAAATCCAATAGTAAAATAAAAGAACTTTTAAACGTTGTGAAACATTCATTGTTATCAAACAATCACAGGAGTTAATGATTTGGTAGTCCAAGTTACAGAGGGAAATACCTAGTCATGCTAAGTTGTTCTGAAATCTTGACTCTCTCAACATCAGTTTCCATCGCTCTTAAAATACTCTGAATCTCTAGCCAAAGACAGTTTTAAGAACATTAATTACAAAAAGGAACTGTGTAAAGTCGCTTAAAGACGGACACCTAGGAAGTCGTGGTAGGCATGCAACTAGGACTAACCCAGAAAGTTATAAACACGTGAAACCACAAAGGAAAAGTTTATGTGTGTCAACTCTATATTCTGAGTGTCAAACTGTTTCATAAAAAGTGGAAAAAAAGAAAAAGCATTATTTCTGGGGTATTTTATTCATTTTTGGGTACTACAATTTTTTCAAGGCTCAAGTTTACATACTTTAACAGGTCCTCGTGCTAATTACCTCTGGTACTTTTGATCTGTTGGAGATTACTCAGAGGTATTCACTACCAAGCTGTCATGAAAAGAAAAACTGTAAACAAATACCAAACCTAAATATCCATTTTTGGCACTTAAAAGTGAAATAGAGAGCCGGGAGGAAAACTTGGTCAACACTAACTTTAGTTATTATATATGAATATATATTATATGCAAATGTTATATTTATATATATAATACAAAAAAACAGGAGACAAACAGAAGTTTAAAATAAAGTTAGAAAATCTTAATTTTTTGTAGTAAAGCATTTCAAACACGTTTGTCAATAGTAGGAGTTCCAACATTCGTTTATTGCTTTTACTGCTGTATATGTAATTATAAAAATTTTCAAGCATATTCAGAAGTTGAGGATATACTACAACAATCCTTCATACAACTTTCACCAAGACTCAACAGGAATCAAGATTTGCCAGACTTATTTATTTTTTGAGACAGAGTCTCGCTCTTGTTGCCCAGGCTAGAGTGCAGTGGCATGATCTTGGTTCACTGCAACCTCTGCCTTCTGAGTTCAACAGATTCTCCTGCTTCAACCTCCCGAGTAGCTGGGATTACAGGCACGTGCCACCACGCCCAGCTAATTTTTGTATTTTTAGTAAAGACGGAGTTTCGCCTTGTTGGCCAGGCTGGTCTTGAACTCCTGACCTCAGGTGATCCACCCGCCTCAGCTTCCCAAAGTGCTAGGATTACAGGCGTGCGCCACCACACCCAGCCTGCCATGCTTATTTAAACTATCCTTTTTCTTTCCTGTAGTATTTTAAAGCCCCAGAAATATTACATTATCTAATGTATCGTATAGATGCCTCTCTAAAAATATGGAGAGTTTTTTATATAAACAAAGTGCCACTGTCACACAAAACAAAATTAACGACTGCCTGATAACTAATACCAAATCTCTGGTAAATTTTCCCCAATTTGAAGCAAAAAAAAAAAAACAGAACAAGTCTTTCTGAATCATTTTGTTTAAGATCAAAAACAACATTCAGTAACTTCATTTTGGTGTTTTTATATATAACATATATTATATTTTTTTTTTTTTTTTTTTTTTTTTTTTTTGAGACAAAGTCTCACTCCTGTCACCCAGGCTGGAGTGCAGTGGCGCAACCTCTGCCTCGGGTTCAGCGATTACTCTGCCTCAGCCTACCAGGTAGCTGGGATTACAGGGCACACTGCACCACACCCTGGGCTAATTTTTTGTAGTTTTAGTAGAGACAGCCCGGCGTTTCAACCATCTTGGCCAGGCTGGTCCTTGACTCTGACCTCCCGTGTTCACCTGCATCGGATTCCAAAGTGCTGGATTACAGGCATGAGGTCACTTGCACCCGGCATTTTTTTTTTTTAAAGACAGCTTCTCACTCTATCGCCCAGGCTGGAGTGCAGTGATGCAACCTCGGCTCACTGCAATCTCTGCCTCCCAGGCTGAAGTGATCCTCTCACCTCAGCTTCCCACGTAGCTGGGACTATAGGCATGTGCCAATACACCCTGCTGATTTTTGTATTTTTTGTAGAGAGGGGGTTTTGTCATGCTGCCCAGGCTAGTCTCCAACTCCTAGGCTCAAGTGATGTGCCCTTACAGGCATGCGTCACTAGGCCTGGCCTATACTAATGCTATAAAGCATTATAAACTACTTGAAGAACAGAAACAATACAAAAAGTTCTGTAATGGGCACCTATTACCTATCACCTAGACCCATCATTTTTAATATTTTGCTACATCTCCTTCCATTTCTTTTTAACTTCAGGAAACAAAACATCACAAAGATACTACCTTCCCCTGAGGTAACAACCGTCGGGAATTTGGGTTTATCATTACAGTGCATATATGTTACACCTTTACTTATACTGCAGGTTTTAAAACCTTAATGTTCTTTTGCAGTTACTTCTTAGCCCTCAACATTGTTGATTATTGATAACTACTTCATTCATTAATTAGAATATCACAGTCTCAATATATCACATATTATGTTGACAGGTATTCAGGTGTGAAACTGAAATCTGCTTTATCTGTACAAATGTTCTCCTTGTCCTATGCCCATTGTCCCAGTCTTTTCCCATCCTGACAATGCCATCTTTGTCATATTTCAAATTTCCACATTTGTGAGGGTTCGATTTGGGGAACTCTGTTCTATAAAAGTTGTCTATTTTCATGCCAATACTTTATATACTGTCTAAATTAACACAGCTTTATACTGTTTTGTCTACTTTTGTCTATTTTTAAATGTTTATATAAGAAAAAGTTTAACAAAAAGGTCATGATCACTTTGAATAAGTGGGGAGACTTACCCTACCAGATATCAAAAATTATTATAAACTTCATGTATGCACCAGCCAGCTCTAGTAACCATACACTCATGGCAAATCATCCCCAATCCATCCATATGCACTCCATATATATTATGAGACAAATCTCAGACACAGTCATATGCAAAATAATCACGTTTTAGTCAACAACAAAAAATATACATGACAGTGGTTACATGGATTATAGGGGCTGAAAAATTCTTATTGCCTAGTGACATCTAGCCATGGCAACATCATAGTGTCACACATCTTGTCTATGTTTAGCTATGTTGCTTTTTGGGTTTGTTTTTTGGGTTTTTTTTTTTTTTTTGAGACAGAATCTCACTCTGTCGGCCAGGCTAGAGTGCAGTGCACGATCTCAGCTCACTGCAACCTCCGACTCCCAACTTCAAGCGATTCTCCTGCCTCAGTCTCCCAAGTAGCTGAGATTACAGGAATGTGCCACCACACCCGGCTAATTTTTATATTTTTGGTAAAGATGGAGTGTCGCCATGTTGGCCAGGCTGGTCTCGAACTCCTGAGCTCAGGTGATCCACCCACCTCGGCCTCCCAAAGTACGGAGATTACAGGCATGAGCCACTATGCCCGGCCTGTTTAGCTATGTTTAATACAAAAATATCACTGTTATAACTGCCTACAGTATTCAGTAATGTGCCGTACAGCTTTTCAGTTTAGTAGCAATAGGCTATACCATGTAGCCTACATGTGTAGTAGGCTGTACCATC